GTGCTGCCCCTAGGATCACTGATGTATTTATTCGACGTTTTGTCCATTTAACTAGTATTGCTGAGCATCTTGTACATGGCAGGCAGCATGTTAAGCACCAGAAGGGACAGCACACAACATGTGTTCTACCTTCTAGTTGCTTAGAATCTCGTGGAAGGGATGGGTATGTGATAGGCTGTTGTAATGCGATGTGATAACTGTGAACCTCGGGGGCTCTGGGGCCACATAAAGGCACTTGGCTCAGTTTGGGAAGGCCACATGGAAAGTTTGCCTCAGGGGAGGTTGATGTTGAAGCTGAGACATGAAGTGGAAGTCTGCAGGGGGGGGTTGTTCCTGGTAGAGGAACGTCATGTGCAAAGAAACAGAGGAACGTGGGAGTGATGAGTCCAGAGACCTGAAAGGAGCTTATTGTGACTGGAGATTGAGTGTAAAGGGGAGAGTGACAGGATATGAAACTGGAGAGTGACCAGTTCCCCAGGGAGCTCGTAGGCCTCATGAAGGGATTTGGGCTTCATCCAAAGGGCAGTGGAAACCACTAAAGCATTTTAGGCAGAGAGCTGACATAATTAGCATTTGCGTTTGTGAATGATCCCTTCACCTGCGGAATGGGAAGTGTTGGGGGGAGGAGGGCAGTGCCAGTGGTAAGGAGACTTGTCCTAGGACTCTAAGCAGGAAAAGATAGAGCAGCAGATTGCGCTTGGAAAAAAGTAGATTGAAGAGATTTAGGAAGTCCAATCAAGAGAGCTTGGTGGTTTTTGAGGGGAGGGAGCAGAGAGAGAGCATTCAAGAATGATGTCCCCGTTTCTACTTTGGCATCTGAGCACAAGGAGAGAGATGACAACTTGGGTTTGGACATGTATTTAAAGTGCCAAGTAGAGGGGCACCTGGCTGGCTTAGTCGGTAGAGCATGCGACTCTTGATCCTGGGGTCGTGAGTCCAAGCCCCACGTTGGGCATAGAGCTTACTTAAATAAGTAAATAAAGTGCCAAGTAGAGCTTAGGTATATGAATGTGGAGATGAGGAGAAAGATTTATGTGAGGGTTTAGGTGCGAGCAGGAAGTCTCAAATTGCTGAGTGTTAAGGTCTCCCTGTATTCCCCCCCACCCTCCTGCCTTCCTCCAGGCACAGTGGACAGTTCGGCACGATCAATAACTTCCGACTGGGTCGCCTGCCCAGTGTTCCCGTGGAATGGAATGAGATCAATGCTGCCTGGGGTCAAACGGTGTTGCTGCTCCATGCCCTGGCCAATAAGATGGGTCTGAAATTTCAGAGGTAAGAAATGCCCCCCTTTCTTGGGGTGTGGCGTGTCCTTGATATAATCTGTTATCTCCAGCTTGGTACTCTGCAGTGGCAGGAGCCCTTGCTCCCAACACACTGAGAGTTTTCTGTCTGTGGAGACTCTTCTTCTGATTCTCCCCCTGACGAAAGGACTCTTTCTACTCATCAAGCAGCCTTTGGACTGCACGACCCGAGCTGTGGTCCCCAGCCCAGCGTCTCTAGAACCTTGGTGGTTCCTCAAGCTGTTTTCAGCTTTTGTTTTTTTCAGCCTAAACAAAACCTACACGTACCAATGAAAGGCCCCCAGACGATTATATAATAAATGTAGTTTGTTCGGTAAACAACATCTTTTAAACACGGAGTCTATGGAGAGATGAGAGAGAGGGGTGGGAATAATAAAAGTAGTCCTTGGGTAGGATGAAGCCTGAAAATCACTGGGTTATAACATTCCAGTAATCACTTTAGCAGGAGTCCTGTATCCATCTCCACGTGCATCTCCATTTTAGGTATCGACTTGTTCCCTATGGAAACCATTCGTATCTGGAGTCTCTGACAGACAAATCTAAGGTATTCCGGGACGCCCCATTTTCAGTGCAATGCAGAATCCTTGTACCTCCTGACGGAATGGTTTACTTTTTTTTTTTTTAAAGATTTTATTTATTTATTTGACAGAGAGAGACATAGCGAGAGCAGGAACACAAGCAGGGGGAGTGGGAGAGGGAGAAGCAGGCTTCCCGCAGAGCAGGGAGCCCGATGTGGGACTCGATCCCAGGACCCTGGGATCATGACCTGAGCCGAAGGCAGACGCTTAACGACTGAGCCACCCAGGCGCCCTGGTTTACTTTTGATAATAGCATTTCTTAGTTTCTTTCTTCGAGGTGTCTCATGATCCCATGTCTTGTTGAGTGCCTTGTCTAGGTCAGGATTAGCTCTTCGGGGCCTAGAGACACAAAGTAGGTTTTTACAATCCGTTGAAAAGGGCTAAGGGCAGACCAGAGGAGGGGGTGTATGCTAGGGTAGGAAAGGAATCACTGCGAGATTGTTTAATCCATTTCCAGTGATGCTGAAGCAGACTAGGTGCCTCATATGGGCCCGAGTTGGCTGTTCCCAGTGCAGTACAGACAGAACATGACTCGAGAGGTTGCTGGGCTTGGGAACAGTCTCTGGTAGCCTGTCTCCGTGCCATCCCCTTAGCTGGTTCTCTCTCTTCTTGGGCAGGAGCTGCCGTTATATTGCTCCGGGGGGTTGCGATTTTTCTGGGACAACAAGTTTGACCATGCCATGGTGGCTTTCCTGGACTGTGTGCAGCAGTTCAAAGAAGAGGTAGAGAAAGGCGAGACCCGTTTTTGTCTTCCTTACAGGTCAGTACCCCCTAATGCTGAATGAACCTGGAGTAGGACCAAATTGAGCAGAATTGAAGGGACAGTAAGAATGGAAGCAAAACATAGTGTAAATGGTGGGAAAGCAGAAAATGCTGCAAAATCATATGACACTGATGGGCAGAGACAGATGCAACGCTCCGAGCAGGACCGAATGTGACCGCCTGGTCCCTGAGGAGAAAGAATATTCTCTTCGGTGCTTTGGGGGGGATTTTCCTAGCACAGAGCTCAAATCGGCTCTCTGATTTCAGGAAGCTTTTCCCCTTAAGCCCTTGGAAATAGACAGGAATGCTTCCTTTGGTCAAATTTTGTAGGAGCCCAGTGATAGAAGGAGACCTTAGTTCAAGAGGGTAAGGCCGAGCTGCTTCTGTCACCCCAAAATAAAGCATTTCTATTCTTCTGCCTCCCTTCTCTCCCCATGAGTTCAGGGATGCCTAGGAAAACAGTCAGGAGTACTGTAACCCCCACGTGCCCTCTGCCCCAGGCTTCTCATTTGTTTGGGTGTGTGTCCTGTCCCTGTACTTGGCAATGACAATGAGGCTCTTGTGACAGCCTTCTTGATGTTTGGCTTTCAAGCAAATCCAAAATACACTACCATTCCTGGCCAAGAGTTCTTTAATAGGTAAAATGACACGAATGGTCCCATGATCACGTCCCTGCCCGTTTGCCGGAACGGACTTAACTCGGGTCTCAGTTGCTAATGAGCTCTGCTGTGTTCACCTGCAGGATGGATGTAGAGAAGGGCAAGATTGAAGACACAGGAGGAAGTGGCGGCTCCTATTCGATCAAAACGCAGTTTAACTCTGAGGAACAGTGGACAAAAGCTCTCAAGTTCATGCTGACGAATCTTAAGTGGGGGCTTGCTTGGGTGTCCTCACAGTTTTATAACAAATGACTTTTTTTTTCCTTAGGGAAATGTTTGCCTTAAAGGCTTTAAATTTTGTTTTGTTTGCAAAGAGAAAAATGTTTTAAATTAAATTCGGGTACTATTAAACAGCACATGTTTACAATACCAAAAAAGAAAAAAAATCCACAAAAGCCACTTTATTTTAGGGTATCATGTGACAGATGGTTTCCAGAGCTACCAGCCTTTGTCATAGTTTTGACTCTTAACCCCATACCTTCCTTGCCCTCTCTCCTCTCAAAACAACTAATTTAAATTTACCTTTGTTGTTGTTGTTGTTGTTAACTGAGTTGAATTGAGATTGATGTGTTTTCACTGGGTTTTATCTCTCTCAACTTCCTGCACTTACAATATGAACTAGAAACTTTTTTTTTTTTAAGATTTTATTTAGTCATTTGACAGAGAGAGACACAGCGAGAGAGGGAACACAAGCAGGGGGAGTGAGAGAGGGAGAGGGAGAAGCAGGCTTCCCACGGAGCAGGGAGCCCCATGCGGAACTCAATCCCAGGACCCCGGGATCGTGACCTGAGCCGGACGCAGATGCTTAACTAAGCCACACAGGCACCCCATGAACTAGAAACTTCTGTCTCCACTGAGACAACAAGGTGTGTGAGACATACAGTTGGATAACGTGAGAAAGTGACACATAAGCTTTGGTCACCAGGTGGTGTGATTGGAAGCTTGAAATTTAACACTTGTCTTTTCTCAGTTCTCGTGCTGACTGCCTATTCTGCTCTCTGTTAGAAATATGAAATGGTGTTTGATATTGTCTGAGACATTATGGAAAGATTTAATTATTTGTAATAAAATATTTACTGCAGTCTGATAACTGCCCAGAGGTGTGCTGTTGGGTTTTTTGTTGACTAAGATAGAGTACTTTATATTCTGGGAGTATTGAGTTCAAGTGCAAGTATGTGGAAATCCTGTCGAAACATGTTTAGAGATGGATTAGTGTTAGTTTTAAAAAAGACTCGTGGAAATAGTCAGCTGTAGAGGAAGCCCCGTTTGTGTACATCTCAAAGACAGAACAGAGATGTTAAGCTAACTTTAAGGGGAGATAAAGGCTGCCTCCTTGATGCTCAGTCAAGGTCACCCAAACAGTCCCAGTTTTCAGGCCCCTGGTTAATACTAATTTCCATGTCTGGTGTTCTCTCTCAATGAAATGAACAGTTAAGGAAAAGCTATAAATATCGTTAAACAAAAACGAACCAACTTCACTAATGTTCTGTCTCCTCCCAGCTCCTTGACATTTTCAGTCTGATTCGGCAAAAAGGACATGCTTGTCAACTTTAACTCTTTCTCTGACGCAGAAAAAGGAGCATGGAGTTGGAATACAAAACTTAGTTCAAAAGATACTCGGAACTTTTGTCCCAAGTCTGAGAGTAAACAAAAGGAGGGCATGACAGAAGACTGCTTCTACTCCGTGCCTTGAGTGTGCCTCATGTGTTGGAGGAGGCGGTGGCCCTCAGGGCTCTGGCCTCCAGGTTGCGGGGAACAGGCTGCTGTCGCCCCGGAGTGTTGGCTCCCACGCTGTGAGTCAGGATTGCATAAGAGAACTCAGCAATGCTTTCCAAGGCAATGCCAGTGATGCTCTGCAAATGCCCCACAACCTTCAGAGACAGACAGATTTAGTATTACTACATAATCTCAGCATGTTTTAGCATACAGAGAGGCACGCTTGGGCTGTTCTCTCACGCCAGATGTAAATTTTTTTGTTTCTCTGCATTTACAGAGAAGATTAAATCCAGATCCAGTGTTTGCCAATGGCCAGATGACATTAGGATCCCTTTACCCTGATAGTGTTAGCCTGGAAAGTTTCTGCTAGACAGTTCATTTCTAGAGATAAGGTCTCTGAAATATGATGAGGGCATTTGGGCCTAGACATTGTCTTCTGTTGGGGAGGATATACTTACTGGACCTGAACATAACTGGGTTATCATCAGAAAGGGAAAGGAACAAGCTGAACGTGATCCTCCATTTCTAGTTCCACAAGGGGAAAAAACTGGAGAGCGCTTTTCAGACCTACCCTAGTGTTTCCTCCCCCAAATCCTGCTTATTCATCCTCATGCTGGGTCTCGACTTATTTTTTACAAGTTGTCTTCCCTTTTCCTTTAACCGATGGGAGAATGCTTTCTATTAAGTGAATTCTGATCATGCCAGTCCTGCTCAGTGGTCCGCACCTGGCTCCAACACTCGTGGTTTTGGATGAAAGCACTCGCTGCAATGATTCCTACTGCCAACAGCATGAAGTCTTTCTTCACTGAAACAAACTTTTCCCTGAGAGATTAAAACCATATTAATTTTGGAGCTTGAGTGGAACTTCATCTTCCAAATCCTAGGGCCATGGGACTTCAACTATGAGTTGTTTTTGTTGATCATCTTGGACTTTTTTAGATATGGAAGGAAATGGCTAATTGGCCCCCTCCCCTAACCCACCTGGGATCCTGACTGGTTTATCCGCCTTTGTTGTTCCATCTGTCTCCCTAACAAATGTAACTGCAACTGTGAGCCTTTTTACCAGTCTGACTTTACAGTAATCAAACACTTTTGTCCAAGTCGCCACCCTGTGACTGGCTTTTTTTCCTAAGCAGCTAAAAGGCAGTCTAGTAATCTCAAATCGAAGCAGAAGTAAAGGAGGAACTATGAAAAAGAAAGTATTTTAATTACCTGCAGTCGTTTAAATTTAAAAGCAAAATCCTTTTGGGTTTTTGCTGATTGGGCTCAGTCATCTGCATCTAAGCAACATACTGGGAGTTCATTAAAACTGGGTAACCTGCGCAGGTTATCTGTGGACTGGATGCCTTATTGGGTAAATTCCATTCCCGTGGTATGTTCTCGAGGTGTGCTCCTAACTTGCTGTTTCTGGAAGAGGCCTACCCTAAAGGAGTTGCCTTACCCTTGCAGCTGACTGGGTACGGAGTTTTCAATCGAAGCCCTCAGCAGGCTCCCGTATATGGGTTCATGCAGGAGATAGACAAGGTCGAGCAGGGTCAGGCAGGTTGCGTGCAGCTGTGTGGCCGGGACCAAGCAGCCATTGTATCCTAGATGGGGTATGGGCATGGCAAAGAGTGGTAAGTGGGTCCTCTCTGAGCATAATCACCACCGACATGTGACAAAGCTCTTGAGCTAATGTGTTCTACTGTAGGAAACCTCTTTAGTTGGAGGTCAATTTCAAAGGATAAAGGGAGAGATAGAGAAATCTCCATCTGCCGTGTATATACAATTAGAGTATATTTGTTTGTTCCCCTCTTATCTCATGCCTCTCTAGAAAATCACCTCTTTGATCCTGCAATAAGAGAGTGCCTAGTGAGTCCAAATAGAAGCCAGGTGCTGAGACCTGAATTTCCTTCCCTGACAGGTACCAGACTCCGTCATCCCAGGCTTCCTGCTGTTTCTCATCGGCAGGTTCTGCCCACTGCTTCCAAGCCCCTGGGCACATTCTTATTGCCTTCTATGGAAGATTCCAACCCACATCCCCTGACACACTTAATACAGTACCTAAAACCTCCAGAAGCATCTCCACATATGCCAGGGGAGTGGGCAGATTGATTTGGAAGTTCAGGGACTTCAAAACATCAAGCTCTGACTCCAGCAGTTCTTCTTTAGTGTGCACATACCCTAGAGACTGGAGGAAATTCAGGACTGTAACATTGCTGATAATCTGAGCAAAGAAAAACAAAACAGAGGGAGAGAGAGAAGGGTGTCAGACTAAAGGTCACACATCTTGGCATAGCATACAAAGCTTTTCACAATCCAGCCCATGCCTTCATCGCGTCTTCTCTCTTGGCAATTGCCCCTCACGCCCCACGCTTGTCATATAGGATTACTTGCAGTTCCAGAGCCTGTCCAGTTCTCCAAGCCCGTACACGTGCTGCTTCCTGTGTCTGGGCCCTCCCTCTCCTCTCTCCCTGCTTTCCTGAACTCCTCTCCCTCTTTCTTAGCATCCACCCATCTCCTACCCACGCCTACCTACCCCCTTCAATAAGTCATTTTCTCTAAATACACTTCCTTGACTTTCCAAGGCCACAGAGGTACACTACACTAATCGGAGCACCCTCCCACATTATTTGCCTGTGTGTCTTCTCCCACTGGATAATAGATTCCTTGAGTGCGCAGGCAATATTTTTACTTGTTGTACCCGTGGCACCTAGTGCAGCCTCTGGCCATAGAAGACAGTGAATCTTTGTTGCGGGAATGTTATTTTATCATACAGGCAGTGGGTAGGGGCATGGAAACATTTTATCCTCTATAAATGTAACAGTTTGTCTTTAATACTGATACGCCTGTTGGCAATTCAGGCACCTTACGTAAACTGTCCTTGAGCCCAAGGGGAGGAAAGGTGACCTGTATAAATGATGGCATCTGTCCAGCAATTACACTTTGGGAACATAACTTCAGGCTATTTAAAAACTGCCTCTGTGTGACTCTGTGTGTGTGTGTGTGTGTAGGAGGTGTGCTTATTTAGGAAGCATAATTGCACTCTGGAATTTCCACAGGAGTAGTAACACCTAGCTTAGGAGGAGGTTTCTCACAGTTGCCTGTGGACGAGCTGGTTTCTGCTAACACTCAGGTGCCCAGGAGGGACCCCAGCTCCTTACTTTGTAGTGGAAGGAAAGTTTGCTTGCCAGTTGAACACATGACACAAGACGCAGGATAAACTTGTTGAAAAGCTGCTCTTTCAGAGCTTTCCAATTCTGAGCCTCCTTCTTCTCTCTCAGCTGGATCGTGGCTTGCCTGTTCATATTCTCTGCCTGCTTAACCATAAACCTATAAGGAAGGGAAGGGGAGAGTAAACAATCCACACTCATCAAACTAAAGGGAGTTTGTGCTGCAAACTATGGGGTATCTCCTCCTCCCCAATTTCAGTCCCTGGCTGAGACATGGACATTTGCAAGTAATAGAGGGTGCCAAACCAGGTCTCGCACTAAAGGGCAACTGTACTTTTTTTTTTCTTTTTTAAGATTTTTAAGAGTACATTAGTCCTTCTGAGAGGTACCACTCACAATGGCCTATGCTCAGTGTTTTACCTTTCTAGGATTTCTACAGCCTGGTAGCTCACGGATTTCTCCAGACACCATTGTTCAGACAGGAGAAAAACAAACTCTGCCAAAACAAGAAAGAAGAGAGTAACTCACAAGGTGCAACCCAAACCACTCTGTGAACTCCTGGCATCGTGTAAAAGCCATGATGGGGCCAAGGGAAGAGGGTCAGGGGGTGAGAAAGGAGACTGAAACAACACAAGCTGAGCTGAGTTCCCTTTCCTGCCAACAGGCAGATCAGAGGCACGAAAAGGAGGCTGACTGAGCGCCAAAGACAAGGGTTTACCAAGCCCCCTCAGTGACCCTTGAGCCTTCCTGTGGGTCTCAGATGATAAAAGGCTTGGCCAGCTACACACAAACATACCAGCTGGTCGAGGTGGCCTCTACACCATGCTGGGAACCTCCAGCTTCAAGGGAGAATCTTGGATGGATAAAAACCGTAACCCGTATATTCTGTTTTCAGTGGAATGTTGACAGGAACGGAAAAGTCCCTCCTGGAGCTTCAATATTCTTTATAACACTGTTTGTTTAGTAACCACCCTCTGGAGAACTCCCATCGCTTTACAAGCACGATTCACCTTACAGCGGACACCATCTCCCCACCACCGGTTTGTTGGGTAAATCCGTGGTGGCTGAGCCTCTCCCCAGGAGCACGTTTGTTACTGTGGAGTGGCTTGTTTTGAAGAAATAGCCCCTAAATCAGGGAACATAGCCCACTTTGGTGTGGGGGGCACAGTCACTGGGAAAGTGGGAAGGGCAAGATACCTTGGCAAGATCTTAGGCCGCCTATGTTTCTCTTTGAAAGAACAGCCCCAGATAGAATTTTATTTAGTTTGCAATATCATTAGAGGGTGGAAACAAGGGTAACTGTTACTTCTCAACAAAGGAAGCTCCTGTAGAACTTGGGACTTTTAGCACTGATCAGTAAAGAATTACGCATAGTCAAATGACCATGTGTCTTCAGAGAAAATTTGACTTTCTTAGGCACGTAGAAGTCATGCTAGCACAAAGTTGAACAGTCTATTTGACACATGTTATACATATGTATAAAACCTTACTGTTACAGAAACTAAAGCCCTGCTAGCAGTGCCCAATGCAGAAGATAATTAGTTTAAGCAATTAAGCAAAATATCCTAGAACACATAATTATGTTATTAGTCGTTTCATTTGCTGGAGTTTAGACCTTATTTCTGTTTTGTTTGTGTGTGAGTATATAGTTTGGTTTTGGTTTGGTTTGGGTCTGAATTATCTGGGTGATTGTTTCTATTTTCTAGTTTAATTTGCCAAGAAAACTGAGCTAGGGTTAGGTGCAATGGATGATGATTATGCCTCCCCTCCCTACCGGCTCTCCCTCCTGCACTACAAACACCCATCTGTTAACTGAAAGACCCTCCCCTTCTATCCTCTTAAGCTAGGGCTCTTTTATCTCCTTAGTTTCCATCACTGTTAACTTTCTTGAAAGCCTGGCTTAAACCTGCTGCTTCCACTTCCTCATGAATTCCTGAATGTTCTGTAGTTTGCCTTCTACTTTTCCCAACTTGCTAAAACAATGATCTCAAAGGCCAGCAAATATGTCCAAATTATTAAATAGCATCACCCTTCTGCAACCTTTATTCCGTCGTTCATATCCCTGAGGCGTGTGAAACTGCCGACCATCATCCTTCTGGAAACTCTCTTGGCTTCCAAAGGTGTCTTAGTTCTATTCCTTCCTCCCCAACCATATTTTTAGTTCCCTCCATGACTCTTCTTCCTACTCCAATTGCCTGAACACAAAATGTCTCCCAGGGAACTGTCCTTGACTTGCTTCTCTTTTCTCCCTCTCAGACTCATTCTCTGTCAGTTTTATGAAGATACCTCCTAAACCTTTGTCTCTAGGTCTGACCTCTCTTCTGACTTACTTTTTAAACAGCTCACTAGAAACCCTCCTTTAGATGTTCTACAAGCACTTGAAACTCAGTAGATCCAAAAACCAAAGCTGTTCCTTTCCCAAACAACGGTCACATTTCCTCCTGTTCTCTTTTTTAAATGAATGTGTTTCTCTCAGTGGCACCACTATACTGCCATTTTCCTAGGCTCACCCTTTGGCATGCTCATCTTTGCCTTCTTCACCTCTTAAATTCATCCATTGCAGAGCCCCAGATTTTACCTCTGAAATGTTTTTAATCCATCCTCCCTTGTCATTCCCTCTGCCCTATTGCCTAAATTACTGACACAGACTCCACTGGTCTACCTCCCTCCTACCTGTCTCTACTCCAAACCACTCTTTACATCACAGCCAACACATTTTCTAGGGCAAAGGCTAAAGTCACATCACTCCCATATTTGAAAACCTTCAATGCCTTCTTGTTTCCCTACTAAGCTACATATAAACTCCTCCCCTTGGCATTCCACACGGAATGCCTCCAAACTACTTTTCTGGTCCTAATTTCAACTATTCTTCCACATGCTCCGGACAACCTGGACTTAAACACTGTACTCACACTCACTCCAAGCTTCTCTATTTCCATGGCTTTACTCCTGTTATCATACCCTTTCGGTAGAAACGCTGTCCCTCTCCTCCACCTTCGCCAACCAAAATGTCATCCTTCCTCGAGGTCTACCTTAATTCTTCCTGCCCTCACCTCACCCTATCACTCCTTTCAATCCCCATAAAAGCTTCTTTTATCTGGTATGTCACTTATCTAACGGTCCTCGAACCTAGTCATTTCCAGACTTGTTCTAATAGCCTCCAAAGCAGGGACTGAATCTCCGTTCTGTCCCGCTCTCCCAAGTGGTGCGGGTTGAAACCAAGGGTGGGGTGTTGGTGGCTCTCGTTCATCACTCCATTCCCTGCCCCTGGCATCTAGTAGTTACTAACAACACTTATTTGAATGAATAGGGTCAACTGAATCTCCAGGGCGGTGCCTCAAAGTCTCCCATGAAACCGGTTCCCCAGCCCTGCGTCCACACCCACGATCCGGGTCTCCCTGAAGCTGCCCATCCGGCCGGCAGCCTCCTGCACGGCTTGCTCATTCTGCTGCGCCAGGTGGAGCAGAGCGTCTTCTATCGTCTCTGTGGCCACAGCCCCGAACCGAACGTCACTGAGGGAGGCCAATCTTGACCTCACAGGTCTGTCCATTTTCAGAAGCCTTTGGGGACACCTGGACGGCTCACTGGATCCATAAACCGACCCCCTTGGCTTCACTCCAGAACCTTTTGCCTTCTGCGTGCTTGTCTTCACCTCAAGTGTGAGGAAAACCCACTTCCCACCGCGGCCTCGAGCCCTCCACAGCCTTTTCCCGCCCCAACGGCCGCGAACCCCCTCAGCCAATCAGAAAGCTCGGCCGCTTGCCCCCTCCCCCCCGGCTCTTCCCCCAAGGCCAAGAGCCGCCCTCGCTTCGAGAAAGAAAACGCGGACTACAACTCCCAGCGTCCCCTGCTCCGGCCCCGGACTGCTGTTCCCAGGAAGCCTCGCGCCCTGGGACTAAGAAGGGCGGAGCGGCAACATGGCAACCCCGGGTGCTGGTGACCCTCTCCATGCTAACAGTGGAAAGGCCCCTGTGGCTCAGCGCATTGATCCAACTCGGGAGAAGCTGACTCCCGAGCAGCTGCAATTCATGCGGCAGGTGCAGCTCGCCCAGTGGCAGAAGAGTCTGCCACAGCGGCGGACCCGGAACATCGTGACCGGCCTGGGCATCGGGGCCCTGGTGTTAGCTATTTGTATCCGTCCAGACTGTAGGCTCAGGAGATGGCCTAGGGGGGCAGGAGAAGGGGAGCAGAGGCGCGTAGTAGGGCAGTGTGGGGGTGCTAAAAAGAGCCCGAGCTGTGAAAGTCGTGGCCATTTCTGATGCCGAGCCAAGCGTTTAATGTATCTTAGTCGTTTTAAAATGCTCTTTTGATATGATTTATTAATAATAACGGCATCGGGGTCGTGGCTCAGAAAAGCAGAGGGCAGAAGATCGAGCCACTAATTTGGGAGGGTGAGAGAGTAACAAGGGTGGTGGAGAAAGTCTGGGAAAAGGCAATATGCATACTCCGAGAGATTTCCTGAACCCACTTCCCCAGATGGCTACACCTTCTATTCCGTGTCCCAGGAGCGTTTCCTAGATGAGCTGGAGGATGAAGCCAAAGCTGCCCGAGCCCGAGCCCTGGCGAGGGCATCAGGCCCCTGAACCGGATGGGCACTGCACGTCTCCAACCTGCTGGAGCCCCTTCACATGGTGGATGATGCCCCATGACCCTGTCGGAATCGAAGCCTGCACACAGCATCGTTGGCCTCGACCTTGGACGATGATTGAGCCCAAGAATTTTTTGCATTTGTTCAGGTCAAGGGAATATTGCCCACTTTACACAAACTGTGTGCAGTCACTGAGCCCTTCTTGTATTTTGTTTCTTTGAGAGTTATATGACCTTGGCTTTTCTCAGGATTTCTGACTTTGTGGTTTACCCTCTTTACCTCCCAGGGGCTTAGCTGTTGTGGATGTGGCAGCTCTGTGTAGTGTTGGAGCCTAAAGTGGGAAAGATGGAGTTAGGTTGAGAATAATAAACTGAGTCACCTCTCTTGGAGCCAGATGAGTGTGTTCAGGCTGAGGGATGGCATGACTATGCTGGAAAGCTCCATGGGCACTAGCTGCAGCAGTGGTATTGCCCCGGGGAGCCGTAAATGTTTAACTAGAATTACTTTTCCCGTGAGATCTTTCCACCTGATTTAAGGGAGAGATCAGGGTGGGTCACTGGGCTGTGAGACTGAACCACGTCTTCAGGGAGGGAAGGTCACTCTTCTGTCCTCTACCCTTAAAACCAATACCTCCAACTTTCCTGCCTTTTCCCATTCCGAGAGAGAGGGGTAGATGAAAGATGAGGGACAGCCTTCCTTCTTTTAATTTCCACTTGGGCCTGCCTCTCTAGGCCTAAGGTGGGGTCTGGATGAGATCTTAGCTTGGTCAAGTGGATCGTTGACCTTGCAGTTTCCTCATGAACTGCTGGCAGGCAGGCAGAAGGCTGGGCAGCTGCCAGCCATGCTTCCCATTGTGAGGAGAGTCCCTTCTGAATTTTCCCCTCCCTTACCCCACAAGGCTTTACCCCCAGTTCTTAAGGCACAACAGATACAGTGTCACAGAATCCTAGTTTCCAGCATTTTTATTGACTGTTGCTAATTCTAGTGTGAGTACACCCCCTACATTTGCTCAGCTGGGAGTGTGCCCTCTAGAAGCATCAGGGCTTGAGTAGGATTGCTTAGTGGTTGACCCTTAGCTGGGGAGGTGGAGGCATGAGGATGGGAGGCTGCAGAACTGATACCCACACACAGGAAATAGTTCCCACATGTTTGGCTCTTCCCTGTAATGGAGCAGCACTCTCCATGCCCCTTTGGCCTTCTACTCCCTCAGTACTGGGGTCTTCTTGCAGAGTTGTGTTGGTCAGCAGATTCTGAGAGCACAAGCTCCATGGTGGGCCCTGGTGTGGGGGAGACACATGGCTTCTGTTCTGAATTCACTGGAGGGAAAAGAAAAAGCACTGAAGAAACCTCCAGGATGGGAGGAGGGTGAAGCTACAGTCAGTTACCATTCCCTGGGCTTGCCCTCCCTTGGGCCCGCCCTCACCATCCTGCCAACATCCCCGGCGAATGTCACCCCCTTGCTTGCCCGCTGCTCCTGGGAGCCGGTGCTGCTGCCACTCAGGGAGTTCCTTCGTATGATGCCTGGGTGCAGGATGGGGAGGGAGAGCACTGAGTGAGGGAACGGGCCACGGCAGGGCGGGGGCTAGTCTCCCCAAACCAAGGGGCAGACCCCCAGGGCCTGTAAGAAAGCCAGATCAGTAGGGAAGGGGACCCGGGAAAGATGGGAGCTGGGCCACTGCAGTCTCACCAGGGCCCGGGGGCTCAGAGCGCTGCAGGCTGTTGCGGCGGGAGGTGGGGAAGCTGCCCTTGGAGAGGCGGCGCTGGCGGCTGGACAGCATAGCAGCCGGGGCCACGATACCCGCTGGGGGCTGCTTCCCAAGCCGGCTGTACAAGTCCTCGATTTCCTTTTTCTGTAGTGTCTGTAGTGCCTCCACCTCTGACAAGTGCCTGAGGATACACCGGGAGCATGAGCGCTAGCCACACACTTTGCTCTCCCGAGTCCACCTCTTGTCCTTCCTCCCCAGACTCACTTCTGCCGAAGACTCTGCAGCTGAGCCCAGAATTCCTCATCCTCCCCACTGCTCTCGGATTCCTCACTGCTCAGACACAGGCTGCTGTATGAGTAGTTCATCCACACTGGGCTGGGATGGCTCTGGGGTGGGGGGCTGCCCCCCACTCGGGGTTCCTGCCCATCGTCCCCTTCCTCCTCAACTCCAGCCCCTAGGCCTTCAGCTGCACGGTCGCTCTCAGCCAGAGCCTCCCTGGCCTCAAGCCCGCTTCCAGCACTATCCTCTGTGTCTGAGCTCTCCGAGGTCAGCTGAGGGGTTGGAGGCTTCAGGGAACTGGAGAGAGTTGGGAATGTTGGTTGCAGGGGAAGAGGCTCAGCTGGTTCCTTGGATGAAGTCACTTGGAAACGCCCCACAAGCTGCGGCTTCCTCTCTGTCGAGTGACAAGGAAGGAGTCACGGAAGGAGGGAGAGAAATCAGGCAGGATATGAAGTGAGAATAATGGGTCAGTGATCAGAGGCCTCACCTTCAGAGATGGGCTCTAGTCTGGCTTCCCCCAGGAGTGGCCGAGCAGGACTTGGCAGGGCCTACAAAGTGTGGGTCCATGAGGAGGGAAATGATCCAGAATGGAGTGCCCCTAACCATCCCTCTTGGTTTCCTACTCACCTCACTCTCCATCTCAGCTGTTGAGGGTGAAGGCCTCTCCTGGCCACAAGGAGCAGGGGGAGGGGGCGGGGACAGGCTAGGTAGGGGACCGGGAGGGGCTGCAGGAGACTGGGACAGGAGCCCAGGTGAGGGGGACAGCAGGGACTGGGCCACAGTCATCACAGCCAGTGAGAAGGCACTAGCCAGAGAGAGGAGAGGGGCTGCTGTGGTGGAGGGGAGGGTAGAGGTGGAGGGGCAGGGGGGAAAGGAAGGAGGAGTAAGAGTCACCTGGGAGCAACTGGGAGAGAAGGCAGGCGGAGAAGGGAGGACTGAGCTATGCAGAGAATGAGAGGCTGGGCTAGGGAACTGGGCAGCACTGGGGGAGAACGCAAGTGGAGAGCCGGGGGAGTGTGGCAAGATATTTGAAGACACTTGGGAGAATGGGGAGGGGCTGGAGTATGGGGGAGAAGTGATGGGGAAGATGGGACTTGGGGAAACAGGGGTTCCGGGGGAAAACAGGTTTCCAGGAGACAAGGGGGTTCCAGGAGAAGATGAGGAGGTGGAGAAGGCTGCCCAGCTCCTCTGCTCCGGGGAGGTGCTGCTCTGGAACTCTGCTGGCAAGGAAGGAGTGTTGAGTTCCCAGTCCCCCATTCTGTAGGCCCTGCCCAGGAGCAACCCCAAGGGTTGTGATGAGTAGGGACAGAACTCAGTACATACCACGGGATGGGTCTGGGAGGGGGCCCGAGAGGGCAGGCAATGGTGCTGGCTCCTCCTGAGGGAGAGAATGGGGCTCACAGTCACAGCGGGGAAGAGCTGAGTCTTAGAGGGGACATTCAGAGTGGGCTTCAGCTGGGACCCATGAACTTCTAGGAGTCCATAAAGGACTTTCAAGGCACTCAAAAGTGTATGTGCTAAAATATTTACAGGTAAAGGGGTATGATGTCTGCAATTTACTCTCAAGTGGTTCAGGAAAAAATAATATGTGCACATACATAGAGAGAGGGGAGGGAGGAAGACAGTGATAAAGTTAATGTGACCAAACACTGACAACTGGCAAATCTGGGCAAAGGGTATCTAAGAGTTCTTAGTACAATTCTTGCAACTTCTCTCTGTAAGTCTGAAATTCTATCAAAATAATGAGTTGAAAGTATGCATTGAACACATTTTTCTAGAACAAGTGCCCACAGCTTTCCTCAGATTCTCAAATGGGGTAAGAGCCATTGTTTTCGGGTCCCAGAGATGAAGGAGTTACAGCCAAGGGGACTGGTGAAGGCAGACAGCAATGAAATCTGGAGCAGAGAGGTGGAGGTGACCAGAGGGGTCTGACCTGGGGGCCCAATAGGTCCTCAGCAGCCTCCACAGGGCCAGTATCTCTCTTCAACAGGGTTTCCACTCGCTGGATAATCTCCCGAATACGACTCAGGAAGCCGGCTCGCTCCGAGGGCAGAATGAACTCGTTATACACCTGGCAAGGGGTCAGCAGGAAGGGGAAGGAGGGCTCAGTGATCCTACTCCTCCCTTCCCCGCTGCACTGATCTTTAGAAGCCATTCCTTCA